ACATTTTTTTCTATGTGCATAACATCAAGATTATGTCGTACAAGATTTGTCTTCCAGTATGGAAGATCCCAAAATATGCTCTTCTTTCTCCAACCACAAAGATGGTGTTTACAAACATCTTTGTTTGTCTCTTCTGCCCTAGGTTCCACAATCCTTCTCAATCCGAGCCTCTCAATCTCCTCTAATATTTGTGCACCAGTTTTTAAAGTAGGAGGAGGACGAGTCTCATTCTTATTCTTCATGAATTTTTTCTTATCTCTCATATAGGGATGGTCATCTTGTAAAAATCCACGGTGTGTATCAAACCAAGATTGTTTGCCACCATTTGGAAGTCGAAATGATTGTAGTTCGTCCATACACACCGGACATGCTGTTTTCCCACCAGTGCTCCAACCAGACATCATTCCCAACGCCGGAAAGTCTCCAATAGTCCATAAAAGTGCAGCACGCATCGTAAAGTTTTGACTCAACGACACATCAAACGTTTCAATGCCTTCGGACCACATCATCTGCAATTCTGCAATTAATGGTTGTAAGTAAACATCAATCTTTTGTTTGGGATTAGACTTACCCGGAACTATCGCACACAAGAATATGTGTTCCTCTTTCATGCACATATTGGGCGGGAGATTGTAAGGAGTGACCATTACTGGCCAACAGGAGTATTGAGAACCCGATTGGCCGAAAGGTTGAAAACCATCTGTGCAGAGACCCAACCTTACATTTCGAACTTCAGNTAGTAAGAACAATGCTCTCCAACAATAGACACACCGCTGTTAAACGTGGCACGTTTGGCACCGTGAGTCTCAGTGTGAAAGCGATAACCATTGACATAACAAATTGGATATGTGCTGACGACGGGTAGAGGTCCCCTTGATACATCACGAATAACTTGCGGTGTATCAACAATTTCCCAAGCCTGAAAGTAGTACAAATGATGAATAACTTGAGGTGTCTCATTATTATATATACATGTTTTTCAAACCATGATGCAAAACTTTCTTCCATTTGCAACAGTAAAGCCTCATCAGTAATGTCAGGATTTGAGTCACGTAATGAATCGACATATTTCCTGCAATGAACAACATCATATGCCTTAAGTGTACACTCGCGGAATGGTTTACTAGAAATAGAAAAAATTAGAGACATACTCAATGAATGGTTCAATATCGACACTATTTAGCATAAGGTAATGATGCAGCGCCTTTAACTCATCATCAGAAAGCCTTCGCTTTTTCGTCTTACCGCTTAAGCGTCCTGCGCTTTGGAAAATGCTTAGGTTGCTTTCGATGGGTGCAGGAACATCTCCTTCATCATTACGCGGTACACTGTGTAGTCGAGTGTAAACATGATCTTCAAAGTAATGCGAACAAAAATGAGATGCTTCTCTCACAATATACGCATTAGCAATAGATCCTTCTACCCTTGCTTTGTTTTTTACCATTCGCTTCAACAATTTAGGTATCTGCATAACACAAGCGAATACGTGGATTAATTATGCATTTAACATATATTATTTGACACATAATATTTTGTTCAGTTCGTACCTCTCAAAAGGATACATCCATCGAAACTGAACTGGACCAGCAACTCTAGCCTCCCAAGGTAGGTGAACCGGCAAGTGTTCCATGCTGTCAAAAAATGCAGGGGGAAATATTGTCTCTAGCTTACATAGTATGACAACTATGTTTTTCTCTAGCGTCTGCATGTCATCGACCGAAATACTTTTAGCAGTAAGAGAACGAAAGAAGTTGCTGAGCTCAGTTAAAACCTCCCATACACCCTTGGGCAATAAATTTCGGAATCCTATGGGAATTAGGCGTTGCATGAAAACATGGAAATCATGACTTTTCATCCCAAACATTCTTAGTTTTGTTGGATCGACACATCGTCCCAAATTTGAGACATATCCATCAGGAAATCGCAACCCCTTTACCCAATCTAAAAAAGCCTTTCGTGAAGCTTTGTCAAGAGTGTATGCTGCTTGAGGATATTTTCCCGATGCACAATCTCTTTCCAACTCTTTCCT